TTTTTATTGGAATTGCTCTAAATTATTAATTTACTTAGGGAGGATTGCTAGGAATGCCTGTCTCCTTGCTTGCTGAAGTTTTTTTTTTGTGTGTGTTTTGTTTTTTGTTTCTTTTGGTCCTTCAAAGTGTACTCAAGTTTCCTTCTTAAAATCCTACACATTTCTTGTTAGGTATGTTGCTGTGTTTGTTATTAGTATAGTCTTTCTCCCACTATATTTTCTCACCACTTATTTTTGCTTGCTTTTTGGGGTTACTGTGTGACTTCCTTGCTAGATAGTAAGCCATGAGGATTTCAGTCACCGTTGTATTCTAGTGCTTAGCACAATGTCTGGCAAAGCAGTGAATGCCTGTAGACAGAAGGTGAATGCGTGAACCCATTGAAGGGGGTTGCAGTACGCAAAGGCACTTCCTCTGCCAGGGACTGATGTCCCCCAAGAGCTAATGCTGTTTACTTGCTATTGGGGATACAGAGCTATTTCTCTCCCTCTTTTCATCCCATATTTGCTAAGCCCTGACAGTGTGCCAAGCACTTGCTGGGTACTTTGGGACATACAGGAACCCCACAGAACCCTAAATCAGGTGTCAACTTCCCCAGATAAAGGCAGGAACTCAGACTTGGACATTAGTACCAATTCTAGCTCTGCCTCAAATTGGCTGTCTGATGTTGAGAAATGCCTTTACCTCCTTGACCCTCAGTTCCTCATCTTTAAAATGAGGACAATAATAATGCCTACTTTATAAGAATGTTATAAAGATTAATTAGATGATGTATGTAAATTGCCTAGTACAGAGCCGGGCACATAGGATATGCTCAGTAAACACTGGCTAGTATTGCTATCGCAGTAAGAGAAGGCAGGGAGGTTTGGGGACTCTATGGCACGACCCTGGGGTTACTGCCCTGGGAGTGAGGCCAGTGGCCCATGTGGCCAAGGCCCCTTAAGTGGGCTAATGGGCTTCCTGATTTGTTCTAGTCTGAATTTTTCTTGGACCAGTCACTTGCCTCTCTGGGTCTGTTTTCTCCTCCTCCTCCATCTCTGTCTTAACCTCTTTGCAGGGCTGGGGAGGATGAGAAGGATGATGGAGGAGGTCGTCTTGGAAAATAGAATTTTGATGTAGGGTAAATCCAGTTTTAATGCAAGACAAAATGGACATTAGCCACACTAGTATGTGGCTAGCATCCAGATAATGTGTGTTCTATGATGGACAGTAGGGTTGGTGACCCACATCCTTTAAAATGTTTGGTTGACACCTTCTTATTAATTACTGAGCTTGTTGAAAGCAGTGTGTGCCCACCCCCCCACCCCCAAAGGCCATCGGGATCCTGCTCAGAATTGTGTCTCGGACCAGCTGTGTGTCCTTGGGCAAGTCGCGTTCCCACCACAAGTCTTCTGTTCCTCATCTGTAAAATTAGGGGGTTGGACTAGAATGATCTCAATGGTCTGCCTTGCCATGCACTAATGTTCTGTGATTCTAGCGTAGATAAATGTGGGCCATATTGGCCAAGCATGCTACGGCGATCTCTTGAGGAGAGGGATGTTTGGCTCTATTGCAGTTGTTAAAATAGAACAGGCTTCTGAATTGTGGCCAGAACATAATGAATCCCATTTCTGTAAAACAATGATGATGACGGAACCAGTCATGTAGTGGGGTTGTTGACGTGGCTGGCCCATTTGGCCTTGTATCCTCTGCAACAAATATAAATGTGAAACTCTGGCAAAGTAGTTTAATGTGGCGCCTGAGGAACTTCCGAGCAAAGCCAGGTGCGTGAGTCACTGAGTTGGTTTCACATTCTCCCGGCTGATGGGACTGAGGCCCAAGACTTTCTTACAGATACCTGTCCAGGTTCCAGACTGTCAGTTGGGAGGGATCCACTCGGTGGCCAGCCCCACTTTACAGATGAGAACCCCAGTGGATGGAGGGGAGGAGCTTGCTCAGGACTTGCAACTGGTGAACGGAGATTAAAGAGGTTTCTTGACTTCTCTGTGGCTGGGACTGCACTCTCCTAGTGGCTCCCACCTGCCCCTGTAAGTCTGGTGGTTTCCCTCTTCCCAGGTTTCCCTGCCAGCATGGCTGGTTCCCTCACTTGGAAAGAGTGTAGACAGTTCCTCCATCCCAGGGACTTTGCAGTGTGGCCCTTATTCCAAGGAGAAAGAGGGAATGATCAAAGGAGTGTGGCCTTTATTCCAAGGAGAAAGAGGGAATGCTCAAAAGTGGCACTATGAATAGAAGGCATTTAGTGATCCCTAAATACTGGCAGGAGTGCTGGGAGGGGGATGTGGGGGCAAGAAGAAGAAATACAAAGAGCCCTGCTCTCAAACAATGAGCATCTTCCTGGAGGTCCCAGAAGGTTCGAGCTGGGGAATGACCAGATAGGATGTGTAGCAGGTGGAAATGGGGAGGAAGTAGATGGAGACGGGGAGGCTATCCCAGCAACCTGGGCAGAAATGGTGGGGCCTGAAGCAGGGGCCTGCAGGGAATGGAGAGGCTTTTGTTTTATAGACAGAATCACAGGATTTGGGCACTGAGTGGACCTGGAGATGGGTGACAGTGGGGAAACGGGGAATTGATGACACTCAGAGCTTTGACAGGGCTATGACCACTTGTGACTGCCCAGGAGCAGGGCGGGTGCTACTGTCTGTCTTAGTGTCCTGCACAGATCCCCTGGGGTGGTGATGCCTATGGGTTCTGTCAGCTATCTTTGTGTTGCCACTCCAGGAGAGCCAGAGTGATCAGGGGCCAGTCCCGCAGGCTGGAGCATGTGAGAGACTGTCTGTGCATGTGTTTAATTACAATTTTTGACCTGAAAAATGCCTTAGAGATTATCTTTTCTCCAGTGAGCAAGTAAAGACCAGAGAGGAGGGCACTTGCCCACATTCCTGCAGAAAGTTTGTGATCATGATCCAAATCTTCCTAGTCCCGTAACGTAGCCTTGCACTTACTAGCTGCTCTTTCAGGGCAAAGGAGCCTGGAGATATAGAAGGAATAAAATACATGACTTTTTCTCCTGAGGAGTTTGGAGTTTAATAGAAGGGACAGTGAAGAAATAGGAAGTTACTAGGAAGCAGTGCTATTAGGGAAGCCCCTAATAACAGCCAAGTAGATAATGCACCGGGAGGAGCTTTTAGCACCGGGGGTTCAGAGCAGGCCCTAATCTTCAGGTTTTCCAGAAAAGTTGAGCCTTCCAGGAAGAGACAATAGGCCTAGGAAGTGAGAGCGAGAGAGCAGGAAAGGGCAATCAAGACAGCAGAGGGAACTGCATGTGCAAAGGTGCACAGGTAGGAACTGCGCATTCCTGGAGACGTCTAGGTCCCCTCTCAGGTATTCAATGGCCAGATCTTCAGGGCACATGGGTCCTTTGTGGGCTCCTGCGGCTTTATGAATAGTGCATTGTGACAGAGTAACCTAAAGGGCCTGGGAGGTGCTTCCCAAGACACAGCTCCTCTCACCACAGAAGTGTTCCCAGGTTCCTGGAAAGGGACACGCATGGAGGCCTCCCTAGGTAGGACTCGTGTCCTTCAGTCTTACTCTGAGTTTCTCATCTGTCAGGCCCCTGGTTGGGCAGCAGATCCCCAGCTACAGGAACTGGTTTGGGGTTTGAGTAGTCCTGTACTTGCCCGCCCTACAAGTCTAGAGGTTTGCCACTGAAGGCTGAGGAGGGAGTGGCCAATGGAGAAGGCAGAAAGACTGGTTCCTGCTGGAGGGAGCTGCCTAACCAAAACCAAGGAGCCCAGAGAAGGCCGGAGCACACAGCCCAGCTCCTGCCCACCCCCACCTCTAGCTGAGCCTGCTCTCTGGTCTGTCCCTGTTCCCCAGGGCATGATGAGACCAAGGTCTTCCCAGACTGATACTTCAGCCCAAGCTTGCCATGGAAGAGCCTGACTCTGGCCTTTCTCTTGGCATGTCGGTCACCAAAGGGTTAAACCTTTCACTAAGTTTCAGCACCAGGACTGGCACCTGAGAACCTGGAAGGGTAGGAGCCAGCAGGGCCGACCCAAGGATGGGATACTCCCAGATAGAGAGAAAAGAACTCAGAAGGGAATGGGACCTGAGGGCCAGCCTGGCCTGGCCAGGACAGAAAGCAAAGGGTTAACAAAAGCCACAGTGCTGATAAAATGCCCCAAATTCCTGGTCCTGCCTCCAATGGGGAGGGCATCTGGCAAATGTCAACGATAAAAAATACATTTTAATGGCACATGATGCAGCTGCTACCGTGAGGTGAAGCCAAATGAAGCCGGTTTGGAGCAGCAACTACTGTGAGCTACTCCCAGGGCTCTGGTGGCCACGCCTCCCAGGTTCAGCTGTGTCTGACTGGGGCAACCCGCCTGTCCCAGCCCCTCGTCCTCAAAGGCCCTGGGTGCCTGGAACCTCTCTGGCATGATTTTAGGTACATTGCATGTCTCCCTTCCTTGGAGTCTTGAACTCTAGCCTATGCTGAGCTTCCCTGCAGGCTGGGATGCATCTGGGTCTCTCCCTCAGTGGGTGTCTGTGACCATGAGAAATGCATGAAGGACTGAGTGACTGAAAAAAGTCAGGGTGGGACATTCTCCTCAGCTTCTTCCCTCTACCTCATCCTGCAAAGCCCTGGACTGTGAAGCTGCTTTTGTGGCTGAGGAATCTGGGAGGAGGTAGCTGAGGGCTCACAGCAGGCATTTCTAGGAAAGACAGGTCACCCTGAGGGTGGGAAGAGGTCAGCCTGGAGGGGGACCCCTGAGGGAGTTATGTGTTGTGATCCTGTTTTACAAATATGAGAACTGAGGCTGAGGGTCCTGGGGCCAGGTGTTAGTGCTGAAGCAGAGAGTCTAAGTGGGGTCCATGGGGGCTGAGTTTGGGGCTCAGGGACCTGGCTCTTTACTTGGGAGCTTCAGTCTTGGTAGTCAGGCCCTGGACTCTGGACTTTTAGGAGGTTGAAAGCCAGCCCAGGGCCAGCTGAATGAGGTCAGGGGCCTGGGGCTTGAGGGGGGGGGGCCCTGGAGCTCAGAATGAGACCCTTCTCTTCCAGATCATTCTCAACTCCATGCACAAGTACCAGCCGCGGCTACACATTGTTAAGGCTGATGAGAACAATGCTTTTGGCTCCAAAAACACAGCCTTCTGTACCCACGTGTTCCCAGAGACCTCCTTCATCTCTGTGACCTCCTACCAGAATCACAAGGTACAGCCACAACCTCCACAGCCCCCACCATGGACACCACTGACATTTCTGCCACCCCTGCACAGAGGTAGGAGTAAAGCCCGAGACATAGTGAGTCTGGGGCGGGCCCAGTGCAGGGAGCTCAGAAGCCTGCAATGTCCCTCAGAGCAGTGAGTAGATTGAAGGATGAGCAGAAAAGGGCACCAGGCATGTGCATTTCTGGCACAGGGTAATTATGGTCTCTATATTTTGAGAGATGGACAAAGTTGGCAACTGTAAAGACTGGGAGCACGAAACCTGCCTTGGGGTTTGAGTGTTAGGTGCTTTTGTTCTACAATCTTCTTTCTCCTGGTGCATCCAAAGGTAGGAGTCTGAGCCTGCAGAGAGAGGGGTGGGGAATGGGGAGAGGATCCCTAGGCACTGTCAGCTGGTTGGGAGCAGGGCCTGAGCCTTGGGGAGGCCCATCCCAGGCTGTGGTCAGAGATGCTGGGATGACCCAGCCTCCCACTGCTGCTGCTTACCCTGCCTAGCTCAGCACGCCAGACTGCCTCCTGGTCCCTGACAGGCTGTTCCGTCCTGCCTCTCTGCCTTTGCCCTGCACCTCTTCTCAGGGTGCCTTTCACATTGTGTGCGCTGGGACTGAGAGAGGGGCAGGGGCAGGGAAGGGCTGTCGGTGTGGTGGATTTTAGGCAGAAGAGTGACAGTCAGATTTGCATTTAAAATGGTCACTCAGAACCTGTTGTGGCAGTTGTACAGATGGAGGTGACATGCACAGGATGCTCACTGGCAAGCTGTTATAGGACCCCAGGAGACACTGATGGGGAACTGAAGCCAGGCAGTGGGCTAGAGAGCAGGGGGTCTAGAGCAAGGAGAATGGATCAGAGCCAAGGACAAGCCAACTTCCCCAGGCCCCGCCACAGTTGTGAATGCACCTGAGTTGGGGAGGAGGGCCAGGGTCAGCCCAGTCCTGCCTTCCTCCTGGTGACTCTACCACGTGTCCTTTCCTGACAGATCACGCAGCTGAAAATTGAGAACAACCCTTTTGCCAAAGGATTCCGGGGCAGTGATGACAGTGACCTGCGTGTGGCCCGGCTGCAGAGGTGGGGCTTCCCGGCCCGGGGGTGGGGCGAGCTTCTGGGGTTCAGGAACGTGGACTCAGCAGCCCTCAAAGCATCCTCACTCTCTTCCTGTCTTGACCCCGTATTCCCCATCCTTCAGCAAAGAATATCCTGTGATTTCCAAAAGCATCATGAGGCAGAGGCTCGTCTCCCCCCAGCTGTCGGCCACGCCTGATGTTGGCCCCTTGCTCGGCACCCACCAGGCGCTCCAGCACTACCAGCATGAGAACGGGGCACACGCGCAGCTCACCGAGTCGCAAGACCTGCCCCTCGGCACCTTCCCCACCCAGAGGGACTCAAGCCTCTTCTATCACTGCCTAAAAAGACGAGGTAGTGCTCTCCTGGTCTAGATGCTCTAGGGGGGTCAGAGGAGGGGTGAGGACGTCCCCATAACCACTCCCCACCACACATGTGAGTGTGTATGTTCATGGACGTGCATGTACACACACTCACCTGGGGCTCGTGTGACCTGGAAAAGCAGAACTTAAGAGTTAGGAACCATGGCTGGATGCAGGGCCATCTTTCCTAGTGCAGAGATGCTGGATCTCACCTTTAATGCAGCCTTTGGAACTCTCACAGACAGCTCTGTGGTCCTGGTATCCCCAGACACTGGCACCTCTGCCCAAGTCCAGGTGTTGCTCTAAGTCACGGCTTTGAGAACCGTATGGGGTGGAACAAAGACACGCAGTCAGTTGGGCTCTGGCTTGAGGCTCAAGGGGAAGCTAATGCTTCCCAGACCAGAGGGTTTGGAGTTGGGGCTGTCGTTGGGCAAAGCAACTTCAATTCCAGAACAGGGATCCCCCGGAGTTCTGTGTTAGGGCGCTCTACCTCATCATGCCAGGATCTGCAGAAGCTTCTTGAGAGTAGAAATGAGTTATTGTAGATGTAGACCGGGTAAAGGAGGACAGGCTGTAGCACTGTCTGTTTAGGCTTCCTCGTGAAGAAGAGAAGCCCTGAACTGGGAACCATAACATCTGTGCTTTGGTACCTGGTCTCAGTTTCTCCATTGTTGGAATCGGGATGATTAGTGGTACTCCACCAGAAGACCTCACCAGGTCACTGAAATTCCTTGGGAATTTCAAAGAAATCCAGAATGTTCTTCCAGCCCTGTTCCTGGGAACAGGCCAGGCAGGGCCCCAAGTATCCCCTGCACAAGCCCCATTAGAACTCGGGGACCTAGAGCGTGGGCCGGCAGCCTGTGGCCCTTGGACCAAATCCAGCCTGCTATCTTTACAAAATGGTTTTCTCATTTTTAAATAGTTGAAAAAAATCACAAGAAGAAGATTTCATGATATGTGAACATTATATGAAATTCAAATTTTAGTACCCATAAATAAAGTTTCATTGGAACACAGCCATACTCATTTATTTACATATCGCCTATGGCTGCTTTTGTGGGGCAGCAACAGGTCAAGTAGTAGTTGTGACAAATACTATATGACCCACAAAGTCTGAAGTATTTACGATCTGGCCCTTTACAGAATCTGACCTGGAGTGACTGGGCCACCTGCCAAGACCAAGAGCAGGGAGCATGGAGGGCTTTGGAGAGATGGAGAGGAGGGCTGAGGAGAGAGCAGGGTCAGAGAGATGAGCAGTTCCCCTGGGCAGGGCAGACGCCTCCAGCAGGGGCAGAGGGGAGAGGTGAGCACGGGCCTTCAGCCACACCCAGCCCCCGCCACCTCCAGCCCCCATGTGTACACACACAACTCCCAGAAGGAATCCCTGGAGGAAACAGAAGGGCAGCCAAAATGAGCCACAGAGGAGTTTTCTCAAATTGGCTGAGGGGGCCTGCTCCCCAAGCCTTCAGACTGGGGTCAGCCCTGGGTCCCAGGGGAGGTCGTGCCACTTCAGATAGTTAAGACTTCATGGCTAGGGATGTTGAAAGACACACACACATGATTTGTGGCATCTGATGTCATCTTTCCCCAGAGGATCAGCTTAGCCTGAAAAGTCTATTACCCTTTCATTTATTGTCAGCAACATTTCTTAGTTCTGCAGACACTGTCACGTTGGAATCTGTGTATTAATAATCTGATGAATCTTCTTTGAACACACAGAGTTGCTTCCTCTTCTAAAAGCCACAGAAACATGCCTATGAGTAGCTTTGGCAGTCCCAAGGCCCTGCTGGGAGCTGAGGATCGAGGCAGAAACCTTGTGGCCTTAATTGTCTGGTTAACTCAGACACATGTGGCCTCTGGGCCTGGGTTGGCCTGGCATTGCCTCCACTTTCCTTAGCCAGGGCTGGCCAAGCCTGAGAATGCCACTGCATACTGAGGCCTCTTCCTATCCCAAGAGTCAGGCTGGCCAAGGATCAAAGCCACATGCTGCCTGGCTAAGCGCTACACTCAGTGTCCAGCGATGTGGTCCCCCGTAGCCTTTGAGTAGGGTCCGTAATCAGACCACTTCTTGGTTGCTGCCACCTTATAAAAGCTGTAGCTAATTAAAATGACTCTGGGAGTGCCATAGCAACATAGGACAAGGGCGGGCGCTGAGTGACAAAGGCAGGCTGTCCTGGCATCCAGCAGGGTGCTCTGGGCCCCTGGCTGGTGGAAATGGTTCTTCCTCAGTGTTTCTTTGCCTTTCAGCAGACGGTGCCCGCCACCTGGACTTACCCTGCAAGCGGTCCTATCTGGAAGCTCCCTCATCGGTGGGGGAGGATCACTATTTCCGTTCTCCCCCTCCCTACGACCAACAGATGCTGAGCCCCTCCTATTGCAGTGAGGTGACCCCAAGAGAAGCCTGCATGTACTCAGGTTCAGGGCCCGAGATTGCCGGGGTGTCTGGGGTGGATGACCTGCCGCCACCCCCGCTGAGCTGTAACATGTGGACTTCAGTCTCACCGTACACCAGCTACAGCGTGCAGACAATGGAGACTGTGCCATACCAGCCCTTCCCCACGCACTTCACGGCCACCACCATGATGCCTCGGCTGCCCACCCTCACCGCTCAGAGCTCCCAGCCACCGGGAAATGCCCACTTCAGTGTCTATAATCAGCTCTCACAGTCTCAGGTCCGAGAGCGGGGGCCCACCACCTCATTCCCACGAGAGCGTGGCCTTCCCCCAGGGTGTGAGAGGAAGCCACCCTCTCCACACCTGAATGCTGCCAATGAGTTTCTCTACTCTCAGACCTTCTCCTTGTCCCGAGAATCTTCCTTGCAGTATCATTCAGGAATGGGGACTGTAGAGAACTGGACTGACGGATGACTCCCATGGCTCCTTGGCAGCTCTGGGACCGGGTTGCTCCAATATTAACCTCCGTGGGTGGCCTGCACCACCGAGAAACACAGGCAGGTATTTCAGAGGGTGTGTGTGTGTGTGTGTGTGTGTGTGTGTGTGTGTGTGTGTGTGTGTATGTGTGTACACATGTCTGCATGTGTGCACATGTGTATTTGGAGAGCATCTATCTTCTGACATACAATTGAGGCCATGACAAGAAAAAACCCACAATTACCTAAGAAGTTATTTTGGCTGCGGGACCTGTGTCTATTGTTATCTGACATTTCTTGACATGCCCACGGGTAAGGGAATGGGTGGTTCATATGAGTTATTTAGAAGTCTTTATAATATAACCTTTGATTTACTCAGGGGCCAGGTGGTGAGTTCTCTCCCACAGGGAAAGATCCTCATTGCTGGAGTGGGAAGATTCTCATTGCTGAGGTGGGAGGGCTCTGTGTGCATTTTAGCATCCTGGCCTTCTGCTTGCAAGGGGAGCTGAGAATCTTGTTTTAGTAGCAGGAGGCTCACTCCTTTGGCTTCTGGAGATTCTGTGAGACCACCTGAGAGGTAGGCTTAGCTACACCACAAAGTGTGCTTTGAGAGTGGGACTGGCTGCTTGGTTAGCAGCCTAGGGATTGATTTCTAAAGCTCTGAGATCTGAGGGATGATTTTCAGAAAGGGTTTCGTGTGCTAAATGACACCGGATGGATATTTCTAAAGGTTTTTTTTTTCCCTTCAAGAGGAGGGAAGATGCAATCAATAGCATCTATCATCATTCAGGTTTTGTCATAAAGTTCAGAGCCTCTCCCCCTAGGTCCCCAGTGTACGATCTCTCACCCTGGGGTGCAAGACTTAGTCCCCCAAACACCATCTGCATCCTTTGGCCGTTGTGAAACATGCCTTACCTGGCATTGTCCCTGGGAGACCACATTGGAGCTCATGGCCGGCGGCATCTCCAGGGTCTGTTCTGCTCCCAGAAAATCCATGCCTCCTGGCGCAAGAAAACCCAACAGAAATAAAAAAAGAGAATTGAGAACCAATTCATTTCTTCTGGTAAATTCAGCCAGCGAGCTCAGAGGAGCAAAGAGGATTCTCCCGTGAGGTGCTCTTATGGTCCTCAGCACTGCTCTTTAGCATTGGACATCACCAGGCCACTGTGGTGGCAGGTGTGAACTCTAAAGCAACTTTGGGAAATCACTAAACTCTTTGCATGCTGAATAGCTATTTATATATTATATAAATAAATAAATATAAATATATATATATATCTCTCACAAATGCAGGCCACATGTCAAATTCAGCTTTGCTTTTTAAACAAATAAACTTAATAAAAATGAACATTGGAGGGGGTATTTGGAAAGACGTCTATTTAAATTTTTATTACGTGTTTGATGTTAATAACTAAGAATGGTTTAGATAAAGCATATAAATAAATATATATATATATAAACATACACACACACACACACACACATACACACACAAACACACACTACAGATAAAGCTTTTTTAGAAAACACATTAGCTAACAGGTGATATGGAACTCCAAGTGTTGTGTTATATAGCATGGACATTTTATTTTACATATCGGAACATAAAGCCATTTTACAACTGTGAAGTGTGTGGATGTTCTTTATTCCGACGTGTCACTTCTTGGCTCAGTGATGGTATCTGCCTCCCTTTTGCTGGTACTTTCTCCCTGGGGCCAGATGAGGCCCTCAGTTCCTCTGAACATTGGTACCATGGAGCTTCTGAGCTCAGAGTGAGGTCATTCAGGACCAATGGAGCAATATACCTTTGATCTCACATAACTCCCCAGGTTATAGGTCTGGATTCTAGGGCCCATGAAGACCCCACAAGGACAGAGCAGGCAGTAAGCAAGAATCTGTCACCTTTTAGCACTCAGCACATAACCTAGCAATTTGGGGGAAGTGGTCTCATAAGTAGGGAATTCCTGGTGGGATCTGTGCAGCTGCTTCAGAAAAGGAACTGAAGAACAGGTTCAAGTCAGCGCCTGGGGCTGCCTGGAGCAGTCAGAGGTGTGAGCTCATCACCACTGTAACTCCAGAGAGGGTGAGTCAAGGCCTGGCAAAGCCCCCACTTGCCCACTCCTTTGCCAGATCCCTGAAGCTCAGCCACAAAATTGAAAAAAAAAGGAGACAAATTCCAGTCCAGGTTCACCCCACTAGATTTGAAGAGACAGATGTGGGGAGGTGCTGTCGGGTCTCCCTCCTGACAGCCCCTTGCCACCTGCCCCGCCCCCTCACAGCTCCTTCCCTAAAGCTGCTCACCCATACCCACCATCTCTCCACTGCCGTTGGGCCTGGGAACCTCGGAGAAGAGAAGAAAGGGGCAGGGTGCCCTTGAATCCTCATCCTCACCAGGGCTGCAATTAGATTTCCTGCTGGGTAAAAAGTCAGCCTTGTCTCCTGGAGTCCTTCTCTTGCAGCTCTAGGACTGGACGTCTTCCTGCAGAACAGGGGGCCAAGTTCCTTCCTCCCTTAGCTTGGCTCCCACCTCAGGCTTGTTGGTCACAGAGAAAAATGTGATTGAGTTTGGCTCAAGGGACGGGGGTGAGGGGCGCTCTTGCTAACTCCCACCTGCTCTGCTCTTTTCTTTCTGGGTGAAGACTGCACAGTTGGGATACTCCACAGCCTCTAGAGCCCAGGCAGAGGGCTGGGGGCAAGCTGTATGTTCCTGGGCTCGCTCTAGACACACAGTTGGCTGAGTCTGAGGTAAGAAAGCCACTTCTTACGGAGTATTTTGCCTCGAGGCAGCCCACAGCTTCCTACCAGCTTTCTGGGAAGCGTGAGGTCCCTGGGCTTCCCCACCTGGGCATGGCTAAAGCCGGGCCTGCAGTGGGATTTGTGGAACTTTCTTGCCCCTCTGAATCAACAACTCAATAAAAAGGGGGCACATGGGATATCCTAGAACAAAGGGCACCATTCAGTAGCGCCAACAGGTCATACATCATCGGGCCAGAAACCTGCCACATGAAAAGGGTCTGCTTCTGCTGTGCCCTGCCTGGGAAGGGACAAAAGCCGATTAACGTTCAACTGCATGGCCATGGGTAGGCGGCCTCCGGGGCTCTGCTCTCAGCCCAGGGCCAGGCCACAGAGGGGAAGCCCAGTTAGGCCTCTCAGCAGCAACTCAGCCACTCTACAGCCCTCAGCAACACAACAGCCTGGAATAACAAAAGAGAGAAGGAAAAGAGAAGCTGGGTCAGACTGACAAATTATTAAAAAACCAAACCAACTTCCAGCCTCAGCTGGGCCTCAGGGGGAGTCAAGAGGCCTTGGTTCGCCCCACTAATGGAGCCTGCTGGAGGAGTAGCAGCTCAGCCTGGCAGTGTCTTATCTTACAACATAAAATTAAAACCCACTTAAAAGGCCGGAGGGCATGTTAACATTCCCCCTGCTGTCTAATTGAAGTAGTTTCCAGCGCAAAGGATTTCACTTGAAAGCTGTCTCCCTCCAAGCCTGGGTCTCCTGCTCTGCGGGCAGGGGAAGGGGGCCAGGAGGGAGAGACTGTCATTTTAAAGCCCACAAGCTCAGGCAGGAAAAGGGACCTATTTGCTTGCCGCCCCCACCCGGCAGCAGGTGGCGACAGCAAAGGTTAGAGCAGGGTGGGTTGTTTTGTATTTTTTAAAAATTTACAAATTCATTAGCAGCTATGTCAGCAGAGGCCAGACTCCTAACAAGAAGTGCTGGTAATGATTCAAATATGGCAAGCCCTGCAGTGAAAACTGGCAGTGCCTGAGGCCCAGAGATTTCTATTCCGTCCCCCAACAAGCCCCCTCGCCCCCCTATGCAAATATATTGCAGGTCTCCAAGGCATACGGAATCAATCAGGGACATCCTGTAAAGGTGATGAACTTGCACTGGCCATCCTGAGTAATGGGAACCAGTCAGCCCGAAGCCGGCCTGGACTGAAAGCCAAGGTGACAGCTATTAAGCAATTGTGCGCTGAACAAAATGGCAAAGGGGCCGGGTAATCAATTCAATTTCGATGGGCAACCCAAGCAACTGCAGCGGCTGTCGCAGTTGATTAGAGAGGGCCAGGTTGGAGCTTTCAATGCGAGCCCATCACAGATCAGAAACAGGCCCGGGATGAAAAGGGAAAGAACTGTCTCCTGAGAAGCAGGCGATGAAGGACTCTGTTTTATGTGACCGTGTTCTTCCTTCTCTCCTTGAAGAAAGAGGAGAAAAAAAGCAAGCAGTTTGGAGATTAGATAGTTTTCTTTTCAGCCATTTATCATTATGAAGGAAAGTAGACAGGGCAGGGGCAGAAGAATCTCCAGTGGGATTTCTGCGAATTCTCACTAAGAAGGGCCAGGTTTACACTCTGCAGCTCAAACGACCGCTGCTTATTACCGCAGCCTGATGGGGTCTGCAGAGCGTCTAGGGTTCCTCTTGTCTAACAAGGGCAAACAGGCCCCTGTGCCCTGAGGAGCACAGAAATTCTCCTGCAGAAACCCCAAACCACCACACTGCATCATTTATGAAGGTAAAGCCCGAGTCAGAATAATGGGGAGAGGAGGGAAACGGGAAAGGAAGAGCTGTGCCAAGTCCCAGAGGGCTAGTCCCCAACGGCAGTCCCCCTAGTCCCCCAGGTCCTGGCGGCAAGGGCCCCTGCTGTGTCTGCCAGCCTGTCAGCACTGATCCTAGTCTGAGGATAGATCCTGCCAGCCTACTGGAACACTCTAGGCTCGTGTTTGGTTGCACTGTTCTCTGGAGAGGGGACTTGGGTTATGCAGAGCAAGGGACACCCAGAGACAGAGAAGCCTTGTGGGAGACCAGTCGTGGGAGGGAGGGGTGAGGCTTGTGAGCAGATGGCAAGGGATACAGAACCACAGGGAAAGGACCATTTTGGGGCCAGCGATGGGGAATGAACATCCGGAGCAGGAGAGCTCAGGGCGTGGAGTGGGTGCTGAAGGAGGAAGGCTTACTCAGAGACCAGAGCAGTGGGTAACATGTCCAGATAAGCAGAAGAGGAGTTATAAATGGATTATTAACCTAGACAAAGCTAACCTCACTAATAGTCTAAAATGCAAGTTAAAGGAATGACATGTCACTTTTGC